GTATATTTGTTCGAGTTTGTTTGTTTGTTTATATCATCATTTTTTTTTTGCGTAACAGTGGCGATAGAGGTCCAGCAAATCGATCGGTGATCCGTGTGGAGTGTGTTCCGCGAACACACGAGCGCGCGGGCGACGATCGCGGCCGCCGCGATGAGAAATCGTGCAGGTGGGTGCAGATCGATGACGTGAATGGTCCCCCAGCGTCGAGAGGTGGTTGGTTGGTAGAAGTAAAGTGTGAGTGTGTTCATGTCGAAGAGAGGCGGATAGAGATGAGGAGGGATGGCGGAGAAAACAAGAATACAATTAGAATGTACATACTGCCCCGTTTACTGGGTGTTTTGCTTGTCTACGGTATGCTCTTGTTATCGTTCAGATCTTGTTATCGCCCGGATCGATAAATCGTTAAACCTGTCGACGGCGCGTCGAATTATCGTATCCGCGCCCGAGCCGCGCCCGGAGACCGAGACAAGCGGCGGTGAAGAATAAGGTATAACAAATAAGGAATGTGATGAAGATATCGGCGGGGGAAACGACGACTCTTACTGTGCACGTCTTCAGCTTCTCGCTCATCCCGTGCAAAGCGAGCACCTCGTGTCCGCTCTGCGCTTACTATCGCATTTCAAGAATATCGTAATCCACGATGAGGGATGAAAAATGTCGTTTCGTCGATCGCGAATCTTCTTTCTCTCTCGCATCCGCTCTCGAGCTCGATGCACTCGCGATCGTATCGTTCACTCGTGCTTCCTTATTCTGTATTCTTATTCTTCATTCGTGCTTTTTATTGCGGCCGTGAACATCGTCGACTCGACTGAGAGAGTCTACTCCCGGAGTCGTTCGAATTTAGCCTCGTGGTGATTTTCGACAGGGAGTACGACGATATATCGATGACGATATATCGCTGCATCATCCCCCGGTCTCGGTACGTAGCGAGAGCACACCGTCACAATCTACACACTAACGATGACTAGGCTATGCTATATCCTAATTTACGAAATATCGCTGTTATGAAGAAGAAGAAGAAGAAGAAGAAGAAGAAGAAGAAGAAGAAGAAGAAGAAGAAGAAGAAGAAGAAGAAGAAGACGATATTCCCTCTTTTATCTTTTACTAAAGAGAGAAGATATAAATGTCAGGAATAGAAACTTGTCTAATGCCGCGATGAGAGAGAGTATGACGTCGGCATCGTACGATAACGAACGAAAGAGGAAAAGAAAGAAACGTCCATCGAGTGTTCTCCAACGTCGCGCGGACCGAGAAGAAGAAGAAGAAAAAGAAAGAAGAAAAGAAACCGCCTGCGCGCTTCCGAGCGACCGATTCTTCTTACGAGAAAGAATCTCTCGACTACGTAGAAACACGTAGAGGCTAGAAGACGCAAAACTCGACAGAAAATGACCAGTGTGACAATGTGTTACCTGTCGCGGACAACTGGCTGGTGCTGTTGCTCTTCTTCCCGAGGCCGGCCTGATACTGCACGGCGCTGGCGCTGCCGCAGCTGCTGCCGCTCCCGCTCTTGCTGCCCGGCGAGCTCTTGCGGCTTCTCCTCGACGTGTCCTCGACGTTCAACGCGATCGCTGTATCGCTGAAACTACCCGCGTCTGCGAAACAAGAATACGCGCTTGAACAGGTAAACACGCAGCCCGGGGGAGAATGACCGAGAGAGGCTTGCGCCGCCGTTTCCGAAATATCTTTTCTGTGTGGAGCTAATCTTGCAATCAGCAGGACGCGGCAAGTGGAGAGAAGGTGGCAGCAACGACATTTGCTCAGAATGCGTCCGGTGTCCAACACCGGAGATATTCTCTCCTGTTTCGAAATTTCGTGAAGTACTTTTCGTAGTAAAAATAGTCTCGAATCCTCTCGGCTGCCGGGTGATTTTATAACAATGAACCGAAACGTCAAAGGATGCATTGTCAAGTCTCGACGCGTCCTGAAATTCATTTCGAGGCAAAAGTAACGCAAGCCGTTTTGCTTTAACTGACCGCACAAAATGAGGACGCGGGACGCGGAGTAACGAGGGAGGCAGCAAAAGGGTTGTACGTTAATTTCAGAGCCGAGAGTCATTTACGCGGTGTTTTCGGGTCGCGAGCTCCTCGCGAGCGGGAAATGCATAATTGCCGAATAATGACGACGTGTACGTCTTGCTATCGTCGAACGACGCGCGTTCGTCGTTTCGTGACTCCGCGGACTCCGCCGCGGCAAAAGTTTCATCAGCAGCATTCGGACGGCTTCGGGCGAATGTACGTCCGGGCGGGTTACTAACTGCCGCTAAATACGAGTGCAACGAGTTCTCGTGACTGCCAAGTCCCGGCGAAAATTTATGTTACTCCTGCGCTCCGCGAAGCTCCGTCTTCGCTCTCTCGACCATACGTCACGCCATCGTGACGGCAAAATCGATGCGGCGGTGTACACATGGGTGTACAGCGTGGGTATCAGCGAAATATCGAGGTGGAATGGAGCTTTCGTTAGAGAAACGGGAACGTTCAGCGGGACGGGCTAATGCGAGGAATCTCGCTGGATTCCCAGCCGGAGGGACAGATTCCACCTCGACGAGGATGATCTTCGCGTAAGGTTGCGCGAGCGTGGCGGGAGAAGAGGAAAGGAGGAAGAAGAAGAAGAAGGGCAAAAACGTTCGTCATTAGCGGAGGACTAATTGACAGGCATAACTCGCGAGATGGGGCGAAAAGGAAGGGAGGGAGGGAGGGGAGGGGAGGGGGCAGGCATACACGGAAGAAATCTGTCAGTCGATCGTGAGTAACCGAACGGGGAAGCAAACGGGAAGACTCGGTAGCGAGGGAGGTGATGGCTCCGTTACACCGCAAACCTCTGTCTGAGCATTCAGCCGCGTCAGGACTCGGTCGGAATGACTGAGAGAGCGATCGGAGACCGAGTGAAAACCTTCTGCGGGGAGGGGGGGGATCTTTCAGCCCCTGCGCGGTCGAGCTTTCCACTCGGTCCCTCCGTTCCTCCCGGGCAACGGGAAATCCGGTCAACACCAAAGTTATTCTTTTCGTGCAACATCCAACCGACCAACGTGAGGAGGATCGGCGACTCGCGTGGGAACGACAGAGAAACGTAACAATTCAAACAGCAACATCGATCGAGCAGTTAAAACAAGAGCTCCCTCTTCCTCTCTCTTTTCCTCTCTCACCTTTCTCATCCTGCGGCACGTCGGCGTTACTGAGACTCCTGGTGAACGGACTCCTCTTGCCGTGCTCGTCGTGCCCGTTGTCGATCACCTGATGTCTGGACATCTTCTCGTACGAGCTCGACTGACCGCCGTACTCGCTGCTTTCCGGCATGGACGAGGAGCGGCGATTCGCGGCGGCGGTGGCGGCGGCGGCGGCGGCGGCCACGGCATCGATGTCGAAAGTGGATTTTTTTCGGGATCGTCGCCGGGCGGACATGGACGGCAGGAACGTGGACGCCACGTCGGCGACGTTGGCGAGCGGCGACGTTTTCGTGTTTTGTGGGTGTTGGTGATGATGATCGTCGGCCCGTGGGTGGTAGTTTTTAGCGGTGTCGGAGGTAGCGGTTTGGGAATCAAAGAGACTCGAATTAGCGTTACCAGGGCGGGGTGCTCGGTTACGGGGCCTACGCGGATCGCACGGGCCAAATCCGCAGTTCTCGCTGCACTGGCTCTCGCTCTCCATCGAGTACTCGTAGTACTCGAGGGTGTCGCTGATCGCCACGTTCCTCTTACTACTCTGTTGTTGCTGTTGTTGTTGTTGTTGTTGTTGTTGCTGGTGCTGGTGCTGCGGCTGCGGCTGCGACTGCGGCTGCGGTAGATGCTGCTGATGCTGATGCTGCTGACCGCTCGACCGCCGCGGTAGTTGCTGCTGCTGCTGCTGCTGTTGTTGCTGCTGTTGGTGGCGCTGCTGCTGGTGGCGCTGCCTCTTCTCGAGCATCTCGAGATGCCTAGCCTCCGGACAGCTGCTGTTTCGCCTACGATATCTATGCTTCGTCTCTACCAATGTTCGCCTTCCGTCGTCACCCTTCCGCGACAGCGATCCCGACCTACCATCTAACTCGGAAGAGGACAGCGCTAGCTCGCGACACTCGGGGCAACTACTTTTACGTCTAGCGCGCGACGTCGCGTGTCGCGGCTCCCGCGAACAAGAGCAAGAACGCTGCGACCCTGACCTAACTAGCTCGCGCGGCCCCGGATATCCCTCGTAATCGTATCTTGAGTCTAAGTAGCTAGCACGATCTTGTCCCGCGTGAAAGAAGCCCGGCCTAACGGCGCCGTCGTTCGCCCTAGTCTCCGTCACGTAGCCCGTCCGTCGAAAGTAATCGGCGCCGACTACCGTCTCCATGGAGCCGAACTCCTCGTCGGAGTCCAGCACGCAATGCGACGTCGTCGTCGTCGTCGTGGTCCTCTCGTCATCGGGCCGTCGCGTCGTCGTCGAGCCGTCGCGAATACGCAGATCTTTGCTCTCCGGACAGCTACTGTTACGTCGGCGACGGTACACGCGTCTGCTGCGTTCCGCGCTCGCGCTCACGCTCGGCTCCTCGTCCGAGTGCAGCAACGCCGGCGTCGACTCGGTTCGTTGCTGCTGGGCCATCGCCGTCGTCGGTCTCTTGCTCTCGACGCACGCTCTCGCGGACCTGTCTCTCGCCGCTGGACTCTCGTAGTCACCTGCGCTCCTCTCTCTACTGCCTCTCCTGCTCCTGCGCCTCCGTCTTCGCGTAGGAGTCGAGCCGCCGTCCTCGTACAACGACGTTTCCACTTTGCTGGAGCTGCTCTGCCTCACTACGTTACGGTAATCGTAATCGTCGTCGTCGTCGTCGTCGTCGTCGTTGTAGTCGTCGTCGTCGTCGTCGGCCGGCCGGTACCTCACGTAGTCGTGACCGGCGCTCGTGCTCGTCGTCGTCTTAACGACGTCGTCCGATTGCGTCGGCGCGTAGCTGCGTTTGCCGGGCTGAACGACCGAAGAACGTGCGCGCTCCAGGTCGTCGCGAAGATAGTCGCCGTCGTACATTGACGAGACGCTTCTCAGAGCCTCGATCCTCTTGTCCCCTCGTCCGTAGTCCAGGTCGTCCATCTTGTCGCGCTCCACGAACCCTTCGTCGTAGTCCGTGTCCCAGTCCTCGTAGTTCTTGCAGTCTTCCCCTTGGTAGGCGCGACGACCAGCGAGAACGCAGCCGTTCACGTCCTTCGTAGGCATCCTTTGGTCGACGAGATTGGCGACGTCGTGAAGTCTCGTGGCGGATCTCGTGGCGAGGATCCCGCGCTCGTAACTCTCGCCGGACGACAGCGTGTCCTCGATGCTACAGTAGATGTGGTCGTTGATCAAGTTGCGGAGCTCCAAGCTCTTGGTGCGCTTCTCCGTGCTGGTGTCGCGGCTCCACGCGTGGGTCCCGTACTTGCGCACCAGGTAGCTGCTGGCCTTCAGGTATTTTCTCTTGCCGGTGTCCTCCTTGTCCAAGATGTTCCTGAGGCTGGTGCGGCCGTCGGCGCCGAACAGTCTGTCGCTGTCGCCCGCCAAGCGCGAGCCACACGAGACTTTGTCGCCGTACTCGTTGGAGGCTCGCTTGGCCGCGATTCTCTCGGCGACCGTCTCGATGTTCTGCTTGTCGAAGCTCGGCACGTAAATATCCGTCTCGCCACAGCTGAGCTCGGAGTCGTAGCTGTAGAAGGCCGGCGGCTTGTGATCCCGCTCGAGCAGGTAATCGTAATTCGTCTCTTTGCTCGTGAGACTCGTAATAGGCACTTTGTCGTCGCCGTTCGAATCGTAGTAGGACTTGCTCTGATCGCCCAGCGCCGGTATCTTGTCGCCGTATCCGGCGTCGCTGAGAGAGAGATTCCGCTTGAGCTTTCTCCGGGCCGTCCTGAGACTGTCGTCGCTGAATATGTTGCTCGATATGCTCTCGTACTCGAAACTCTTGGCCCTGCGCGATAGCAGACCGACGGCCCCTGGCCTAGTACCGAAACGATCACCGTATGTATCGTGCATCACGACGTAATCGAAGCTCCTAGCCTTAGCGGATAAGAGAGACCTACGCGGATGCAAACTAGCGTCTATACTCCTAATGTCGAGATGGTCAGGGATATCAAACGGATCCTTCGCGACGATCGTTCGTCCGTTCCTCGTGGTCGTTGTCGGCATCGTCGTCTCTGTTTTCGTTTTCGTCGTTGGTATTATCGTTTTCATCGTCTTTGCCGTCAGAGTCGCCGTCGCCGTCGTCGCCGCCGCCGCCGCCGCCACCGTCGTCGTCGTCGTCGTCGTCGTCGTCGTCATCGTCGTCGTCGTCGTCGTCATCGTCGTCGTCGTCGTCGTCGTCGTCGTCGTCGTCGTCGTCGTCGTCAATGTCGTCGACGTCGTCGTCGCAGAACGACGCGCGCGCAGACCCATGTAGTCGTCGTAGACACCCACGGCACGACGATACGGCGCCGAAGAGCTCGCGCGACCACGCAACCTCCCCGTGTGACAACGACAATTGTTCGAGTCGACCTGCTGGCAGTCCACGGCGACGTGCGTCGCCGCAGTGCGATTCTTAGCGCTACCGGCGAGTCTCGCTGGCCTGTGTATGTACCCCTCGGAAACGCTGTACTCGCTGGTCTCGGGGCTGTAATATCTCAGCATGTTCTCGTCGACGGTCTGCGATCTCATGAAGGGTGTACGCATCTTTTTGTACAATGAGCGTACCACTGCGGACTTGCTCCGTACGAGGGGATGCGGGGGGGTGGGACACTTGCTGGGGTCGTTGCTTTTGGGCGCGGTGGGATTGTTGTTGCACGGACAATGACATTCGCTGCGGGGTACCCTAAGTTTGTGCTTGCGCCTATTGCGCCTAGGGGGCGGGGGCGTAGGGGATGTGACAGCGGGTGTTAGAAAAACGTTCTCAATTGTCGGTCTGCAAACAATGTTTTTTTTTTTCATTTATAGAGAGGGTTTCGGCGCTCTTGTGCGACAGCACAATCATAGGATGAGCCCATTCCGCTTTTCGTTCTATCCCTTGTCTCACGGTTTTCTCATTTGGCACTTTCTTCTTGCTTGTTCTTTCTTTTTTTTCTGCGTTTTTCTTTTTTTTTTCTATTTTTCTCTTGCGCGCGCTCGCGATCGATCGAACTCTCGTGTGTACATGTGTACGCGTATGTTCATGGCTCACCCATGAACATCTTTCTTTTGCGACTCTCGCCGAGAACAACGGGTCGGCATTTCGGAAGAGAAGACACGCGGCGAACGATGTTCTCTGTCTTCTCGCCGTGCTTCGTTCTCTACGATGCGACGAGGCAAGACTCTACCTGACCGTTCGACCAACGCCACGCACTAATCCCTGATTTTTCTTAGAATGGGGCACTAATTAAATGGACATTGGCACACATAGAAAGAAAGAGAAAGAGAGAGAGAGAGAGAGAGAGAGAGAGAGAGAGAGAGAGAGAGAGAGGGAGAGAGAGGGAGAGAGGGAGAGATGGGGGAGGGGGAGGGAGAGATGAAGAGAGGGAGGGAGGGAGAGAGAGAGAGAGGGGGTAGGGAGAGGGAGGGAGGGGGGAGAGAGAGAGAGAGAGAGAGAGAGAGAGAGAGAGAGAGACAGTATGTGCGTAGGAGGTGCAATCTAAGCGCTAAGCTCTCTTCGCCGGAGATGGCATCGGGGGGCGGGGGGGCTGGAGAAAAAACATATGGAGAAACATTTGTCGCAGCAAGCAGGATGCGAAGAGTGCAACTACCGGGACATTCACGCAAGTCGACAATGTCCATTTAATTCAGGGATTATTTCTTCTCGCTCGAGGGCTCGAGCCGATCGAGTCGGCGAGATGCTGAGCATCTCCGGCATCGGTCAATTTCTCTTTCTGCATCCAACTCTCTCCAATGTACGCGAAGGCGTTCGAGTGTGTGCGAACGCGTACGTTCGGACTCGAAGCAAAACGCGCTCGTCGGCGCTCGAACCCTGCGAGTTGTACCTAACGAGGTGTACTTTTGTTCATCATGAAATCTGCCTTACTTGTTGTACACCGACCTCGCGGGACGAGGTCGCCCGTACATCGAGAAAGATCGGTAACGGTAAAGGTTGCGAAACTATACTCACGTTAGCGCTCTCGATCCACGTGGTCGCTCCGATTGTGTACTAAAGGCACTGCTCGTTACCGAGGCTATGCTCTCTATGTCAGAATCCCCGGGATCACCGAGTACGTCTTTGTCGGGACTCAAGAGTCCTTTTCGCGGTCTGTGCATCCTGTGAGCGTGGCTGTGCGGCAGCATTAGAGGATCGTGCCCGATCGACGGGAGATCCGGGTCCGAGAGGCCGCTGCGATGCTTCTCCCAGCCTGGAAGTAAATCGATCGGTGTATCAGCCGAGGCAAGTACTATGAAAGAAGCTACAGATTCCGACCAGCGTTCGACAAGTTAAACTCGTCTCCTTGTGACTGATCGGACACTTATTATCACAGTCTCGCCGCGCGGCCGCGCGAAAGTGTGACTCACCTCCCATACCGGTGCTTCTGTATGTCGTGTGCATCGGCCTGTTGCGATGCTTCATGAATCTCACTCGCTCCTCCAGATCTTGCGTGACCCTCTCCTGCAAGACTGGCGGGACTGGAGGTAGGTGGCGTTTCTTCGGCGACCCAGTGGGGGTGGCGGTCGCCGACCTTGAGCCCAATCTGAAGAAGCGCGCGGCCAAGTGAGACAACGCGGCCGTGTCGTGAGAACGGCTCGCCGACACATGCACAGCAACGAACGCCCAAAGTACCCGGAGATATTTCATACCTCGCCGCATAAACATATGTGTGCGCGAAGGGGATGGATCTATGCTCGGGCGGAGACAGGGAACGATGACCGGTGGGGCTCTGAGACCTTCCTCGGTATCGAACGCTCGACGAGTCCATAGGCGCCGCGCTGTGAGACCTATGACCCATCATTCCCCGCTGCATGTCGTCCTGAGAACGGCAAGTATTTAACAGAGCGTGTAAGGATACCGTGCGGACGTATGGACGTAACTTGGCGACGAGAACACCGACCAGTCTCGGAGTGTCTCGCCGTGTCTTCTGCGCGAACATCCGCAAAGTGTGTGTCTCCGATTTCGACGAAACTTGACATAGAATAGCCAAAAATAAGAGACATATTTCTTTTATCGACAATGGCTCAGATTTAGAAGGGGTGAAACCGCTCCTCAAAGTTTCATCCCCTTTATGCTATCTCGATAATTACCGCAGAGGAGAAAAAACTTCTTAAGCAAAAATTGTACAGCATAAAAAACCGTATAATTTTTCTTTAAAAAGCTTTCCCCCATCTGCAATAATTATCGAGACAGCATAAAGGGAATGAAACTTTGAGGGACAGATAAAAGAAATATCGATCTTTTATTTCTGGTTATTCTACGAATATGCGAGGTTTCGTCGGAATCAAAGACACACACACACTTCGCGGATGTTCCTTGTTAGTGAAACACTTTTGACGATGATATTACTCCGATTGAGAAAAGAATAAAAATCAAGAAAATTCTCAACTGGTCGCTACCGTTTCTCGCTGCAATGTGTACCCTTGGGATTTGATTCAACAGTCTGCGAGTTGTTTCGGAGAACGAAAAAGTCCGTTTGAAGTTGCGGGCGACGAAATCCATTCCTTGAGCGAGAGAAAGCGGAGCCCCTCCCCCCTCGCCCCTCCCCGGCCCCCGCGAGCAAGACCGATCGGTGATCTCTGACACACCGCGTCTGACACCGCGTTGTGAGCCGTACCTTACGATATGTCTGGTAACTCGATATAGACGCGGATTGGTCGCGAGATATCATGAGGGCGGCCCTTTTACGTCCTTGAGGCGACATGTCCCTCCGACTCCGGTGCTCACCGTCGATGCAGAGCTCCCTCTCCGGCGGCGGGCTAGAATAGTGGCTGCTCCAGCATGCGTTCATTTTTTTTTCATCAATCAGCTGCGTGCCTTACAACTTAAATGAGGCGAGTGCTGTGATCTCGCGCTAATCTCAAAATGCATGCGGCCAGGATGGTACAAGAGAGAGTGACGGAGGCAAAGTATACTCGTGTGTCGTGTTCGTCGGCACGTGATGCGTGTATGCGTGCCTCAGTGAACGGCAACCAACAGCAGTGCCGATGTTAGCTCACTTCTCACCGAGCGATGTAAGCGTAATATAACACGTGTTGTACGCAACAGTTACATCGTCGAGTGAAAAATTGCAGCATCGATGTAACGCTACTGCCCCACTCGCCGATGTTTACTGGAGCCTATGTATGCGTGTGTATACGTGTGAAGAATGCTATAAATGAACACGCTACGTGGCGTACTGAGAACGGAAATCGGTCGGAGAACGAAAAGTCGGGACGTAGGAACGGGAAAGAAAGGAAGAGGGAAAAGGATCGCGCGAGTCCTCCGGTCGTGTGCAAATTCATCTCCCGAATCCTCGCGCGCTATTTGGCGCATAAAAGACTGTGTCTAGCGTGAGCCCGGGGTCGACTCCTTAGATCGTACAAAACTGCACAGTGCATATCTCCTAATTTGGCGCGAAGCAGCTCCAAGTTACTCGGCAATGCAGTCAAGTCTGGCTCGGCGTTTACACAGTGTGTTCTCGATTGCGAGACTCTTCCCGTTGCCAAAAATCGGGATTGCGAGGAGCGGCGCTTCGCTGAGCGAAGAAGCAGAGTCGCCGTATAAAATCTCGTCGTGGAATACGCGGCGTAAGTGCGTCCGTGCGGGCGTGCCAAGTCTGCGTGAGTGGTTCGCTCGCACGTAGCGATAATCGATCAGTGCGAGAGAGAGAGAGAGAGAGAGAGAGAGCGTAAAACGCGTGAAAAATCCCTCGGAATCCCGAACGAAAGGCGCTAATTCGCCGTTTCTGGCAACGAAAAGCGACGCGTGCGTGAGAGAAGGCGCTTCGCGGAAACTGGCTGGCGGCACCAAGTAATTGCAGTCAAAGCTTTAATAAAGGAAGACTCAATCCACCCCGGCCGATGCATCGCGATGCATTAAGCATTCTAGAAGCCATGTCTCGTCGCATCTAAGACTCAACGTGTTTAATAATGCGTATATGTTTATATATATTAACGTGTGTGTGTATGTGTGTGTGTATACGTATGTGTGTATGCAAGAAGCGATGACAGTATGACGTCTAAAGTGCCTACGTGGATGACGACTCGCTAATCTATTCTCCTTTTCTGTTCTCTTTCCTGTCTTTTTCTTTTGCATCTACTGCTACTTGCTCGCAATCACTCTTCGCGTCACTCTCGACGGGCAACGAGGAAACGACGTTAGCCGGAGAAATCGAACGCCAGACAACCGAGAGACCGCCTCGGGAATTTTGCTGCGCGTTATCGTACGTCGCGGTGTATGACGCATTGTTAATCGCACACCGAGTGGAAGAAGCGGAGCGGTTTCGTCAGCAGAGTTTTGCGTTCGACGGACGGCCGAGTTTTTCGCGTTACCGTAGCCGCGCGATATGTCTCGTTCGCCGGCGAAGCGAGATGCTCTTCCTCCCTGTGTCTCTCCCTCTCTCCCTCTCTCTCTCTCTCTCTCTCTCTCTCTCTCTCTCTGTCTCTTTCTCTCGTAAAGTATATTTTCTCATTGGACAAGGACCTCTCGTGTTATGCTCCGTCGTCGTCAGTGCACCCGGATCGAATTAGCGATTCGCGTCTCTTCGTCACAGTCCTCGTCACCGGCGCGGTCGACAAAGTGCGCGACTAAACTGCCCGATTTCTACGCGCAACATCGTAATAATAATAATAATAATAATAATAATAATAATAATAATAATAATAATAATAATAATAATAACCCTAGCGGTGAGGATGCAAAACTGTGTGGGTGTGTGTGTATGTGTGACTGCGTGTGATTCGTGAAGGAGGAGAAAATATATATTATAATGGCCGTACCGCTTATAATTTGACGGCATATTATGAAACCTAAAAAATAAATAACAAAGCACACGATTAAAATCAAAAAGCAATGAGCGGGCGCGGCCGCGGCCGACGCGTCATTGTCTAGTTTCTCTTATCTCGCCAATAGTCGCTATATATGTATACATATATACGTATATACATTTCTTTTCTCGCACGAAATACTTTACGCGCAAACATCCTCGGCGACGCGACGGATCCGATTGTTTCCGTGACGGATCGCAAAATGCTACGAGTCGTCAACATCTCGAATCGCTTATCGCGAAACGCGATGATAGGAAGAAAGTAGTACGCAATTGTACGTATACAATAGCGATATTTTTCTCCCGAATGACCGATTCTTGTGTATGTACTGTCGACTTGGAGTACACAAGCCGCTTAAATATACTGTAGCGTTCAGATATTCGTACGTCACTTTAATGTCACGAGGCATTCTTTCTCAATCAGAACGCGTCATCCCCTCGCGCGTCACGTCGCAACCGCGGACTCGCGTCGGCTCGGCGGCCGCGGATTGATTAATGTAATTGCCGGCGAAACCTTTCCGAATAATCTCATTAGGCTACATCGAGGATTGTCAAATACGCGCGCAGGACGTCCGCCGGAGCGCAGAAGCGGGGACGTTTCAATTATTCGAAGCAAGCTTTCGCAGAGCGACGCGCGTTTGGCATAGAGAAGCTCGTTTTGAAATCGATTTTGAGATCGAGGGACTGTTCGGCACGAAAAGAAGCGCCGGGCGATGCCGGACAGCCGACCTACCGCGGTCGATTCTCCCGGTCCATCGCTTTCGACCTGCTCAAGTGTGTCGTCGAGTGAAAAATTCCACACGGGGGAGCGGGTGCAAGTCGCGTCGCCGTCGTCGTCGTCGTCGTCGTCGTCGTCGAGACCGGCGGGACGCGAACTCGTCGCGAATATTCGCGAATGACGAATGCACTGTCTGCCGCTATAGCGCGACGCGCGTCTTCCGCACGAAATGCAAACGACTCCGGGGAGTTAAAGTGACGTCGAATAAATAACCGAGTCGGGCTTGTTCTACCGAAAGAACGCTGTCAGAGCACACACGCGACTTCACGTTAGCTGCTCCACGCTAATATATCACGGATGCACTCGGGGCGATTATCGTATCTTTCTCTCTCTCTCTCTCTCTCTCTCCCTCTCTCTCTCTCTCTCTTTCGCTTCTCTTCCCTTTTCCTTAATTATCCCGCGGACGCGCGCACGTCATCCCTTCGGCTTGCGAGCAAGAAGGCGGAGGCTCTCGTGAAACTACGGGCAAGGAACACTCGGTACTTACGAATAACGAGCGAACATCATCGCGGAGATATTAATATGAATACGAGAAGTTTAAGACTGACTTTCCAGAGTTGGCGATGGTCGCGGGCCAACTGCTTTGTCAATTGGCTTATTGCCCAGTTTTATAACTTGGCTTTCGCCCTCTCCCTCTGTCTCCCGACCGCCCCCTCCCCCTTCCTTGCCGTTCCACGTCGTCTTTTTTTCTCTTTCGCAAACTTCCGCTCGCGCGATCATTTATTTTATATAAGTATATTCATGTTCACGTCCGTTCTCTCCCTCCTATCAGCGCGCTTGATCCTCTTTTCGGATCGCGCAGAAGCGGGAGGAGAGTCACGGTCTCATGCGCGCGATCGTCTTCGAGTCGGAGAGTCCGAAGCAAAAAGCCGATCGACTCTTGAGCGATCGCAAGTTGAGCAAATGAGTCGTGAGCGCGACGCGATCTCACCGAATCAGGAGTCCGCCCGAAATAAACGGATCCTCGCGAATCCTCGCGGCTGGGATCAGTCACGCATACCGAAGCTTGAGTGAACCGACGCAACGCTTGAGTTAATGACGATAATGCGTTGCCGCGCTGCAAGGAACACGGGAATAAACGTTACACGGCGCTCGTTACGACGGCGATTACGAGATTCTGAATCGGCGACGTTGTCAGGGATTAGTAACGCAATTCCCGCCGGCGGTCAAGTGTGTTTGCGTGTCTGTCTGTCTGCTTTGTGTGTGTGTGTGTGTATGTGTGTGTGTGTATATGTGTATGTACGCGTGTGTGATAACTGCCGTATCGCTTCTCGATAATGCACGAACTCCGTCGCGAAGAATTCGCGCGACGGTCGAATTTTGCGTGCGCGCGCGGATTTGGTTGACCCTGACGAATTTTCTGCTTCTCTTGATCTTCTCGTCAGCATTTCGACGACCCGTGCACGATCGGTACGCACTCCCGTATCGGAATTTTCCAAGGGACGCTCCCTTACCTGGAGGAACTGCCGATACTGCTTATGCTGGCACCATCGTTCGTTCTCCTTTGTTCCCTCGGCACGTCGCAATCCGTGATGTCGCATTCTGAGGTGTCGGAGTCGCTTAATCTCGAAGTGGTCGACGGTGGGCTCAGGTGACAATCTATCATGTCGTCGGAATCTTGGTAATGCCTGCGGAGCAAGAGCGGCGTTAACACGCCACGTGAGTCGTAGGATGTGACGGCCGCTCGAATTTTCCTTCGAATTTCCGAAAGCCGATCAAATATTTGCACGCGCGATATTCATTGCGAAGTTACGTCTGTTGTTCAATTAAGACAGTCGACAAGCCGCGACCACTGCCTGTGCGCTGACACGCGCACGGGCATTTCAGCGCGTAAATCGTATCACGACGACGCGTGCGAGACGAATTTAGTGACGGAGGAGGAGTGATATTATCGGGCGTTCCGCAAGAAATTCGTATCGACGCGAGGTATTTATTTGATCGCTTTTAGTATTGGCATCGGAATTACTAGCATTCGCGAGGGCGATTCATACTCGACGTACCGGTGCTCCCCGTGAGCGGTCAGGGCATGCCATTCTGGATCCTCGTTTAAAGGATATACTGCTAATTCCAGGACAACCTCGCCGAGAAAATCGTTCACATCGTACTTCATGTAGTCCCAGACCGTAATCTCTAATGTTCTTTTCCGCAGTTCCGTATGTCTGATTCCATTGTAAACGAAATACTGATTCCATTTGGGATCGTTTGTATTCGCCACGGTCTTCGTGCGCCGCTTCGACTTCTCGCTACGGTGTTAAAATATTCACATGGACACGTGAGTCATTCAGTAGGCTTCTTTCTTTCTTCTTTCTGTCTTTTTTCTTTCGCTTTTCTATTCTTAATCCTTTTTTCTTTTCCCTTTGTCAAGAAAAAGACGACGTTCCTGCCCGGACGGCGGGCAGCGACGCGTCAAATTATTACGTGCGCTCGTGCGCAGATTTGCAACCGAACGTTACACATGAGAGGAGAAAAAATGCCGACCTCCGATCGATCCGACTGGAGCGCGTATCCTTTATCCAAAATTTCGCGACGAGTCGAACGGAGAGAAAAAAAAAAGGAAAAAAGAAAGAACGCACGTTTTACTCCTCAAACAATAATCGTTCTCTCTACGCGACAGCTCTACCGAGATTTGTATTATTGAACACCACGAGGAGGTGTTCCCTCCCCCACCTCCTCCTCCTCCTCCTTCTCCTTCTCCTCCCTCTCCCCCTCCTCCTCGGGCTCCGCTCACCTTCTGTCGGGCAGCAGGAACACTTTGGCGTAGGGATTTCTAGGCTGGCCGTTGTTCCGCAGCGAGAGGCCCTCGGCGCAAATTATTGTGACGAACAATTGAAGTGCTACGGGATCGAAATCCAGCTTCACCTGGATACTACCCTCCACGCTCGCATTTCCGGTCGGATGTCGGGAGGGTCGACCGCGTCCTTGGGCGTGCAGGTCCGGCGAGCCGGGCGACGTCACTAAAACCGACGGTTTCTCACGCCTCGCGTCGTACAACTCTGCAAGTGAGCATCGTGCGGTGTCGACTAGGATATAACTCGTTTCCGTACCTGCGATTCTTGGAGCGATTCACGGGGAAAGGCTGGGGGCTCGGGGGTTGAGGATTTTCACGCAGGCTTTCGTGATGGGAGGGAGGGGTAACGAAGAAGGGCCGAACGAGGGCTCGAGATGACGTGGTGAGGGAGAAAGGAGGACCGGATGGTTCGATGAGCGGATAAATTTTCCTGTTTCTTTTCTCACATTTTTCGGCCGCGTTTTTGACTCGCGTCTATGTGACGACAAACATATTGCTATACGCAACATTCAAATAATGGCGGTTTCAAACAACACGACAGCTCGAGGAGACGCCCAAGAAATACCCTAAGCCCGGATATGTTCGGGAGATCAGGGTGTCCATTGGACGCTTGCGTCGACTTGGCGGTTCGGTCAATCAGAAACGCGAAAGAGCCGAGATTTGGACATCGCATCGAACACTGCCTAATTAGCTCGATGAAACTGATAAATTACAATCTCTTCGAGGATCTTTTCAAACATCCACGTCCCTCCCTTTCTCTCTCTCTCTCTCTCTCTCTCTCTCTCTCTCTTCTCTCTGTCTCGAAGAAGAAGAAGAAGAAGAAGAAGAAGAAGAAGAAGAAGAAGAAGAAGAAGAAGAATGGAGTCTACATGCACTGATTTCTCACAATCACGGTGATCCGCAAAGGACAACGGGGCGAAGAGGGGCGGGAAGGAGTTCTCGTGATCAACAATGCCGGACAGGGTCGGTACACACGTAGACAAGATAGGCGGTGGCGATTATGACGAGAGAGTGTTCACATTTATATTTCCGTAAGAGGGTCACACGAGATACCGTATTTAGACTCGTTAGAATTGGTGGAAAAGCGCGACACACGAGGGATCTGCATAAATATCGGCGTCCTCGGACTTTATACATGTATGTAAGATACATATACACACGTACATGTATGCGTATAGTTGTTGCTCCCATAAGACTATACCTATACAACGGTGCTGTTTAGCGGGGGTGCATTGGCACTACAATCTACGTCTACGTTAAAACATCGACATCGATATACATAAGGCAGAGGTATAAAAAAGTATACAAGACGATCTTTTTCTTTTTTCGTCGCTCCGTCACGTTCTCTGCCGTGGCATCGACGTCGTGATCCTCGCGTGGATCACCGCGTTCGTTGAGATTCGGGAGAATCTCGACGAGACGGCCGGCCGTTCCGTAAGAGAGAGACGAAAGGCTAACGATATACAAGGGAGAAAGAGAAACACCGACCAGTCGGAATATATTGCGTTAAAGGAACACAAGAGTTGTCTGAGGCCTACCCCATAGAATACATTTCTTAAGACCTGGAATGCGAAAAATCACATAATCTATGACAATGTAAGCGTCGCTTGGCTAATCATACTTATTAATATACGCTTGCGCGGGCGGTGGGGTGCGGGGGGAAACGCGGATATGCGCGCGTAATCTCGTAATCTTACGCCATACCTCGGGAGATTGCGTTTAATGGGATCGAATCGATGCCGATAAATGTTGCACCGAATCGGAATAATTAATTTCCGGCCGGCGCTGCCGGACGACGCCCGTCAGAATTTTATCCGATCGTGACCACCGCGTAGGGTGGTGTGTCGAGTGTACTTTTCGTCGCACACTCGCGCCTAACCTTTCTTCGTCTCATCTCTCTGCTCATCGTACACACGTACGTGGAATGTGCGTGTGAAATTTACGAGTGAAATCGAATGAAGCGCGAGATACGTTGATACGAAGAGTAATTCCGACTCGGGAACGTTTAATTTGTAATGGTCGCGCAGCGTACTTTCTCTCAACGAGTCCTTCCCGTGCTCTTTTCAGCGATTCTTCGACTATGCTACGTGTCAAAAGCTGACGATACTTAAGAACAAACTACCCCGCTTTTTCAACATTTCTCTCTCTCTCTCTCTCTCTCTCTCTCTCTCTCTCTCTCTCTCTATTCATTAAGGTAACGCCTGGCACCATAAGCCCATGCACGCCATGACTACCGCAGGATGAAAAGTCAGTGGACAGAGTATATTTCAAAGTCGTACGAAAAAGAGTACCTCAAGTTCAAACAACAAGTCGACGATGAAAAAAGAAAGGAGAAAAAAAAAGAGAGAGAAAAGAAGAGACAAAGTGATCTAGATCGCGATGATACATCTGATAGACACAGAAGCGAGAGATCGAGTCGGAAGAGACGCTCGGGAACGGAGTGCGCCGAGTGTGTCTGTATAGTCACCTTTGTGATGCGGTTGCTGAGGTCCGGAGATGGTCTCGTGTTTCTGCCTCCATTGACTCTGCGCGACGATCCTCCTCGATGCCATCGGCGTCGACGGGCCCGGTCCTGCGGGCATCGCGCCGGTTGTCGTCGAGGACAAGTTTCGCGAAACTATGAGCTCGATTTGCGGCTCCAGCCTCGACTCGCGGATGATCTCGGCAACGACATCGAAGCTCTTGCCTTGGAGGGATCTTCTGTTCCACTTGATCACCTCGTCACCTGAAACAGCCGCAGGGAATACCCGAGAAATCGTCGAGCACCCGATTCGTTCCTGTAGACGGTCGCGGAAACGGAGAGAATGGCTTGTCGCGATTGTGTTACGACCGATTGTGTCGCACCGAAAAGCACAAGCTGTCAGCTTTACGCGGCGCGAGTGGCTAAGACGCTCGTGTCGGGTGACCCGCGGCGGAAACAGGTCGAAGCGGCGTTTGCGGACACCGCGTTCGAGTCGCGAGGAATGAAAGATTGAGCGAACCGACGAAAGAGCTCGGCGAAACGAGCTCTCGTCAACTTGTTTATCCCGAATTTTCCCGCGCGCGATTCACTCGCCTCGAGATCGTCGCGACTTGCTCGCTTACTACGATTCGTCCGAAACTCGCAATTAATTCCGCGTGATTCCCACGGTACAAAAAAGAGTAACGAGTCGAGGTCTGCTTACGCAAGTTCATACAGATTATCTCTAAAATTCGATTCCACCCCTGAATCTCGGGAACGGCCCGATTAAATATGGAAAAATGTTTCAGATAAAAGTTGTATGGTTCCAAAGAGGACATGTAACAACTATATAATTTTCTTTATCCTTTTCTACCAATTAACTTTAACAACTTTTGTTTGAAACATTTTTTTATTTGCCTAATATTTCTTTAAATGTTCATGGAAAAACTTTTTTAATATTTAGTTCACGATAACTAGCTTGACGGAAGAAAAAATAATACTAGACTTTTTTACTCTTTTAGTCTCAAGAATAATATATCGTTGCAATAGTGTTCCAAGTTTTGTTAACTCATCGATTTTTGGAAATTTCAAAATTATCAAATTAACAAAAGTCAGAGCGCTATTGTAACAATGTATTCTTAAGACCAAATAGAAAAAAGTCCAAATAGTTAGCGAGATATACTAGGTGCGCAACTAAGTTTCCGGGTTTTTTTGATCAATGAAAAATGGAAAATTTCAAAAGAAATACAAAAAATGGTTTACTCAAAGTATCGTCCCTCGCTAGTTACACATTTTTGCCATCTTTCTGGCAATATATGAATAGCGCGACGATAAAACGACGCGTCTTTGGACCGAAACCATTCATCCAACCAATTTTGCACTTCTTCGAAATTGGCCAAGTGTTGCCTAGCCAAGCCATGCGCCATCGACCGGAACAAGTGATAATCGCAAGGGGCCAGGTCTGGTGAATACGGCGGGTGCGGTAGCAGATCCCATTTCAGCGTCTTGATGGTATCCTGGACGATGGAAGTGCGATGGCACGGAGCGTTGTCGTGCTGCAATATCACTCGTTCGTGTCTCGTGTCCCATTCTGGCCGTTTTTCGAGCAATGCATGGTTCAAATTGATCAGTTGTTGTCGGTAGCGATGCCCATTGACAGTTTCGCCCAGCCTCTTTTCAGCAGCTCATAGTACACGATTCCTTTCTGGTCCCACCAAACGCAGAGCATTGTCTTCTTTCCGAAGCGATTTGGCCGTGCCGTCGATGTTGATGCTTCGCCAGGTGAAAGCCACGATTTTTTGCGTTTGGGATTCTCGAAATATATCCACTTCTCATCGCCAGTAACAATTCGATGCAGGAAACTCTTTCTTTCATGCCGCAAAAGCAAAATTTCGGAAGTGACTCTTCGATTTTCCATCTGTCTCTCAGTCAACTCATGCGGCACCCATTTTCCTTCCTTTTGAATTTTTCCCATGGCATGTAAACGTTTGGAAATACCTTGGCGAGTCATGTTTAATGCCGCTCCGCAAGTTGATCTTGTGTTTGCGTATCATCTTCATCCAATAATCGCTTGCAGATCAGCGTCCTCCGGCTTGTTTTTGGTCTTCCGGAGCGCTCCTTGTCCTCAGTGTCGAAATCGCCACTTCTGAAGCGTTTAAATCAATTCACAATCACAGATAGTTTTCGATGGTGCATGTTCGCCGTAGGTCTCCTCAAGCAAACGACGTGCTTCATCTGCATTTTTTTTCAAGTTAAAGCAGAAAAGCAAAGCTTCCCGCAAATGCTGTTTATTTGGCACAAAACTCGATATCTTCGTTGTTAGAAAAAATATTTTTGCGTTGCGATATGTGTTGGTATTACGACTGGTTATTGTTAACAGATGTCCAAGCTATAAAAAAACACAACTTCAGACATATATGTCGACTACATGTGTTGTTAGCGTCATCCATGTGTGAAACCCGGAAACTTAGTTGCGCACTTAGTATATCATAAATTAAATATTGAAAAAATTACCGAGTTTTCCTTAAATATCTCAAAAACTATTAGAAGCAAATAGAAAAATGTTTCAGACAAAAGTTCTTCAAATTAATTGGTAGAAAAAAATTATATAATAAAAAATTGGCGTTTCCATTTAAGAAAAGTAATGATCAGTGAATACGTCGAAAGTACGGCGCCATCTGTAAACAAAATGATATAGTTGCTGTATGTCCCCTTTGAAACCATACAACTGTTATCTGAAACATTTTTCCATATTTAAAGTCATTCCCGAGATCCAGGAGTCCAGGAGGTTGGACTTTAGAGATACCTTGTACATTGAACGAGACGCGAATGCAGGCAGCGTTTCGCACACGCACGCGTCCATGACGACGAATGTATGTCGAGCGACTCTTAAGCGACGCCCACGACTGCCGTGCGTTTTGAAAATTCTCGCTTGTTGTGAACTTTGTAATCCTCTTACCGGGTCTAAGTCGACCTTCTATGTCCGCCGTACTACCCTCTTTCACCTTCTCGATGAAAGCGCCCATGGAACCGTCTTCCAGTAGCTTGCCACCGACAACTTTTAGTCCGAGTATACTACTACCGCTGTCGAAGCCGGATTGCGGATTTGCCGATTTTCGCAAGACCATGTGGCCGATGATCTTCTGACCGTCTCTGCTCACTTGCCAGGATAACGGATGCTACGGAGCGCGGACAATATTTCTTTTACTGATAATGGGTGTCTCATGCCTTCTCGTAAAGCCAAAAGCAGTAATGGAATGTACGTCCGAATTCTGGATGCTAAATTCGTGAGTCGGAAAACGCGCGCAGCACCGGCCGTTCTCAAGCGTTCAACGATCGCGACTCCGGGCTAACTTTTTGCATTACACAAGATCGATCGCTTCCGATTTACAAGTGACTCGGAAAGACTCGCCCTTCTTGCGGACGGAACTGCCAAGGCAGTATCGCATCCCTCCTCTCGTCTCAGTCTCCAGCATATCCGGCGCGTATTTCCATTAGTGGTCTCTTTTATCGAGTAAGACACAACGATTCAGAGATAATCGCAAGAGAGATTAGCTCGCAGATCCTACTGGGAAATGTTTTGCGTCCATCTCCGCATTCGACGTGCCAGCTACGTCCTGCGATGATACATCTCTCTTGCGCAGGATGCACGGCCACAAGGAGGAAAAGAAACGCAAATGAAGCTACACAGTGTACAATGTCCTGCAAATCGATGGGAGTACCGAGAGAAAACGCTTCGGCGAACGTTTGATATCGGAAAGAAGGAAAGAAGAAGATCCGAGAATGTGCGTGTTTGAGCGTGCGATTTGAAGAAACCGCGGCGGCGCATTAATTTCAACGGTCTCGGATAAATCCGAGCGAATGATAAAAATCTCGTCTTGACCGAAGCGTGTCTCTCGATGTCCCGCCGACGAAGCTCGTCTACGAAGTAGGCGATCTAGACGGTATCGGAAAATAACTAGACGGAGAGAATAGTCGGCATTTCTACTGAGAGTAGCAAGCGGCGCATGCACTACTGCTGCACACACGCGCACACGCACACGCACACACACACACACACACACACGCACGCACACACACACACACACACACACGCACACACACACACACACACACACAGAGTACGTATAAGAGCTAAAACGGTAGCCGCCACTACTGCATGCAACGTATGCGAGAATAAAAACTAGCGAAAAACTGCGGCAAAAGACGAGACATTCCGCAAGTATACGTAGCGGACCCATCGGAGCCGTCGTGGACGTCCGCGGGCCATCCCCGCCGGAGAGCCGAAAAATACGTGTCGAAAGGCATGCAAACAACTCTGCGTGGTATCGTTGATGCGCGTAAACGTATCGCACGATTGGATTCTGAGCGTGGTGTCTCTTCCTGTCTGTCTGAAACGACACACGATTCGCCCCAGGTGGATCTACTTTAGGGAGAGGGGCCGCCTCCTTTCGCTTTCCTTGTCTCCGTCGCTCGCGCTGCTGATCCGCGCGATTCGCCTTGTCCAAGCTCGGTATCACACGAGTTTCATCGACACTCGTCGCCCGTGACTATCGTGTCCTCCAGTTTCCTCCATCTGCGGCGAGTCTAACGATCACGTCCGTCGACTGACGCAACAAGCGGCGTTTCGCGAGGAGACCGAACGAGGCAGAGCGGAATGCTGCAACGAAGCTGCATCCTCTCATGATCCATTTCTGCTTTTACGCCAGCGAAACACCCTCCAGACAATTTCACGCATGCCCGCGGTAGCGATACGACCTGACGCCGTAAATTGCACGTGAAAGATTCCGCAAACCGTCTACTCCGGACGGCGCGTCAGCCCCCGTCAGCTCGCGGCCGCGTTCGGGAATGGGACACTCTCTCTCTCTCTCTCTCTCTCTCTCTCTCTCTCTCTCTCTCTCTCTCTCTCTCTCTCTCTCTCTCTCTCTCTCTCTCTCTCTCTCTGTCTCTCCTCGCTCTACGTTTGCGCAACGGCCGAACGCTCGGTATCGCAATAATCGGGCAGGTATTAGAGAAAAAAGGAGACGAAGAGAAAAAGAATTCACCGCTCGCGAGACCGATCGACGAGACGATTAACGAGGTCGCCGGGTCCCGATACCCCCTTGGCCGCGTTCCAATTTCATGAATTATGAAACAGGTACGCTTCTCTCGAGAAGCGAGCGGGACCAGCGTCCCCGCGCTGGATTTAATTGGATCGTTTTGAATGTACCTCCGCGAGAGAAATCACGTCAAATTCCCCACGCACACGCCCGACTATCGGGATGCAATCGCGCAACGTCCGGACTCGACGGCGCTTTTCAGCGCGCGAAGAAACCCCGCGCCCGCGCGATTTATCCCACATCCCATCTGCCCCGCTCGCGATCCGATCGGAAAGGGGGGCGGCAGGAAACCCGCTCTCGATGACGTTTGGTTTCCTCGTTCTCGCCGTGATACCGCGTCACGATATCGGTCTCCGCTCCTACGCCCTGTTTCTGCGAAAATAAAAGCAAGCTCGGGCGGAAATACGAGCGGTGGAGGGGGCGACGACGACGGGTCTCGAGTTATTTGCAGAGATACGTAAGTCGCGGCTGGATAAATGACTCGATCGTCGTGACCGTTTACTCGGAGAATTTAATCTTGGTTATTTGCCCCGTATAATTGGGCCGCGACCCGCGGAGTTTCCATCTACCACGCCGGGGTGTATCGAACGACGAGGGCCGCACGCAACACTGGTTCCTGGTGTGACGACGACGGACGTCGTCACACCAGGAACGCGAATCTCTCTCGCGGAAAACGCGAATTGCAGATATTGCAAATCGCGCGCGCCAAAGTCGGACCGGCGCGTGGAAGAAATCGCTCTGATCGCTTTCGAATTCGCGCAATTTATAACGCAGGGGTGGCTCCTACGAGTCTCTTTGCGTCGGGCAATTTCAGTTTGATATCGAATCGATTATCCGCGAACTCACTCACTCACTCACTCGCACACATTCTCTCTCTCTCTCTCTCTCTCTCTCTCTCTCTCTCTCTCTCTCTCTCTCTCTGCGTTTTATATTATGTGATATAACCTACGGGAAGTTGACGACTCTCTGGGCGACCGTACTTTAAGTCGGGAGTGGCGTAAAAGAGAAATGAATGTCAGAAGTGGTTATTCATTGTTTAAAAGCAACACGAATCTCTCCCCGTAGCCGTTAAATCCGCGTCACTTTGGAAAGTCGGGGAAAATTACGATGGATCCTCGTCAAGGGAGGCGCCAAATGGAATGTATCGAACAGTCTAACGCAAGAGAATTGTAGTATAGAAGACGATTAGTTACTCGAGATTACTGAATTCACGGAGCGAGCCTCTGGTGAGGTAAAACCGCGAATAGTGAGATAATTAACTTTTCTCGCCGATTCAACTCGAAGCGACGTAACTCACCTTAATCATTATGTATTTATCGCGTGTATTGTCTGTTAAACGGACATTTACATGATCGACAATTCGCGCGGGACTCCGTGACTTCAGTCGTCGTGTGTGACTCGAGTGAGCTCGAGTTTGATATTTTCGGTGTCAACGCAGTAAATTGTACAGAAAGCCAATAAAAAAATCACACAAACATTTCTCTCTCTCTCTCTCTCTCTCTCTCTCTCTCTCTCTCTCTCTCTCTCGGTAAAAATACGAATACAAGCACACAAGCCTTTAAAGCTCGAAGTTTAGGGTTAATCGAGCAAAAGAGGGTGTTTCCTGCCAGCGCAAATGTGAGGAGGGGGGAGAGGGGGAATAAAAAACCAAACGTCCGGGCGTAACTTTGTTATACAGCGTGTGTGTCTGCCGGCCTTTCGAATCTCGCGCGTCAATCGATGCTACCGACGGTACACATCCTCAGCGCGATCGATCGCGCTTAGGGTGACCATATGTACTCTTTTTCAGGTGGTAAAAAGAGTACTCTCTACTTTTTACGTATCGTACTCTTGTATGCACTCTTTTTTCGTAATGTTAATTATACTTTGTCGATAATGACCAGAGAACAGACTTCGGTGACGTTTTCATCACTCGCAGCATTTGAGCGCCGCGAGCGCCAATACCGATTATGCGTAGAGGTTCTGCACAACGGTTCTGCCCCGCTAGTTACTACGTAGGCAGTCTGAAAAGTTCTCGACCTGACACATACATGGCATTAGAAACTGTCAAACTATAATTGTATTGGAAAGTGGCATCTCTGATATAAACTCATGTAAAATTTTATTCGATCTGTCAAGTCATTCGAGTAGTAACACCAGTAGAAAGAGCTTTGTGCAAGATGAGTGCCGCATTTGCTAACAATTGACCAAAAACGCATTCCAATGCGCATTTTTTCAATTATATTGAAAAATAAAACATATTTCACGGCAAAAAAATTTGCTTCCATTGTTAGGCCGAGAACTTTTCAGACTGCCCTCGTATAAATCGTGCAGCACAATCGACACTGGCGCGTAGCGCTCTGGCGTTGTGAATGCGGAAAACGGCGTTGATGTCTCCGCTCTTTGGTAACGACACAGTGAAAACCGAAATTGTCAGGCGATGTACGCAGTGCAAAATATAATTATAAAATATCTTAATAATATAATAAAATATATATGTTCGACTAATATTTCTCGGTTTATTTAGTATCCCCTATGTTTTATTTTAAATATTATACCTAGTAATCCATTAATCACTGTCCCAGATAAAACATAAAATCATTTTTACGTCAAAATGACATAATTTTTATATTATTTGACGTCACCTTGACTTTTATATGATTTTGTGTTCTACTTACTGTACTCTTTTGGGACCGTAATTAGTACTCTTTTACACACTTTTTTTTACCCATCTTTTACTCTTTTTTTATGACTGGGATATGGTCACCCTAATCGCGCGACTCTTCCTCTCCGGAGCCCCTCGGTTCTCCTGGCTCTCCTCACGCCATATCGCGCCGGATTGTAGTCCGAAAGTAACGAAACGCCAAAGTGCCGCACGCTAATTGCATCAATTACCAAGCCATCTCCAATGCCACTCAGCTACGCTATTGAAGCGAGAAGGCGGGAAAGAAAACAACCGTAATTCCACTTTGGACGGCCTGTGAGAGTCCGCCGATTCTCCGCGATTAACGTACACGCTAAAGCTAAAGCGCGCCGGGCGCGCTAATCGTTGTCGCAAGAAAAAGCCACCGTTGTGCTCCCTCCCTCCCACCCACCCACCCACCCTGTCTCTCTCTCTCTCTCTTTCTCTCTCTTTCTCTCTCTCTCTCTCTCTCTTTCTCTCTCTCTCTCTCTCTCTCTCTCTCTCTCTCTCTGTCGCCGTCTCTGCCTCTCTTTCCCTCGGTCGCGAGCGATCGTGCGAAAAGCGTCACTTGAAAACCCCTTATACTCGATCGACACCCGCGCGCGCGAACTCGACTCTCCTTCTGAAAAGCTCGGCTGTCCTCGCGTCTGTGTGAAACCTGCCTTCTACTTCGTCATTACGGATTACCAATCCGGACATATCTACTCGCTACGATCGGGAAGCGTTTGTTTGTTCACTAGCGTCGAGCCGGGTACGGGTACGACTTTACTCGCTCGTAATTGGCAGCCCGTACCTTGGGCAGATCGCCCCTGTTGCTGTCTTCACTGCTCGTGAAGGTGCTAGAGGTGTCTATGCCGGAATCTTTGGTCGCGCTGTCTTGACTACCCTGTCGATCGGCCTCCCAAGACCATTCCTCCTGAGGGCCGCCGACATTGGTCCCACCGTCAAAACGCACTGTCTTTTTCCCCCTCCTCTCCGTGAACCTGATGGACACGCCACATACACAGAGACACGAGGAGACCATGGAGGTGGTGCGCGCCGCCGTCGGTCGGTGTGTTTAATCCGCCGCGGTTATTACGCGTCGTTCTCCGCGAGCCCACGCGATCCGATCGCGAACGCATCAAGCCCCGGAGCTTCGCGCGAGGCTTCGCTCACCCCTCCGGCCGCTCGCTCGTCGTTCAATTTCCGGGGATGGGGTTCGTTGGTCGGAAAACTCGCTTCCGGCGAGTAAACGTAACACGGGAACGCGGCTTCGATTCGGCTGGGTGTGACTTTGATTTCTGATTTCGAGCCGTTCGTCGATTCGGAGCGCGAATTAAAACCAGTCGTAAAAATATCGCGTGATATTTTTCACCCTCTTCCCCCCACCTTCCAATATGACCTTCAATTTATATATATATATAAATTTAATGAAGAAAAAAAAACACTATCATTAAATTATTGTTCTCTTCGAGGTGCTCTCGCAGTGCGGACCGAAAGTCACCACCTCGGAGGATCGACTCATCTTCTATCTATCGATCTATCGATCGTGAATTCACCACGTAGGATGGAAGATTCGTTCGTTAACGTGCGCGGGGAAGAAGTCAGCGTGAGAAAAAGTGTCGCGGGAGAAAGCCAGCGGGGCGCGATCGCGATCGCTCTCGCTTTCTTTGGGAAACGCACCTCCTACTATCGGCGCGCCACTCGTCGCCGCACCTGCGGAAGCTCCGTCTGACGAGGGTGTTCTCTTCTTTTCGCGGCTCTCGCGGTGGATGGTGGCCGTTATGCTCGACGGTCATCGCGCCAGCACCGTGGTGCCCATTGTGGGGTCCGTTGTGCCTACGCCCACCACTGGACATCGATTTCGGACCTCCCGCGTGGTGGTAGTACCCCTTCCCTACAGTAGATCCAAAATTCGTTTTCGTGTTTTTTTTCTTCTCTTTACCCCTCTCCCCCTGTTGCCTTTCTTTCTCTATTTAGCTACCTCTCTCTACGACTCTCGACGAGCACGATGGATCGACACCGCGTGCGAAACCCTTAGCTTCAGCTACTACGACCCGTCGCGACGTCGCATGAGAGAATTCACTCTCTCGCTCTTCCCTCTTTCCCCCGCGAAATTCTGCCATTTGTCCGGCACACTTCCACTGCCCGAGCTTCACGGCGGCTCGTTCTGCGACGATCGCGTTAAGTCTACGCGTCGAGAAACAGAAGCGTGTTCGTGTCGCGAGGATTATCTCATTCTTGTCTCGAATCACTTTCTCGCTGTGTTACGTTTCGCCTTCACCTTCCCGGTACTCCTCTGTCTCTCCTCTCTCACTTTCTCACTCTCTCACATCCCCTCTCTCTCTCTCTCTCTCTCTCTCTCTCTCTCTCTCTCTCTCTCTCTCCCTCTCCCTCTCTCTCTAATTTGCGCGTTAGTTTCGTGTAAGAGCGTTTATAGTGTGTTATATACGGTATACCTGTCGGAAACGAGGTAAGGTGCAAGCTTGCCCGCGATAAATGTGCGATAGACGATGCCTGAAGCGTTAAGTAGAACCGTATAAAGATGTGTGTGTGTGTGTGTATACATATATATACGAGTCTGAATCTGTGTGCCTGGCATGATATCCTACATGGATATATGACGAGAGAGACAACTAGGTACGACTATGTGTAAATGTGCAGGGAACATGTGGTTGTGTGTGTACGTGTGCGCGCACGTGCATCACGGCAATTACAGTACGACGAGATGTCCATCTGAAGTTCCGCGTCAGCACGCTTATCTGTGTCTTCCAGGGGACAGTGATAGTGGTGGTGGTGGTGGTGGTGAGGGGGGAGACTTTACCGGTACACAGGACCTTCGTCTGTCACACAAAACGACACGAGACACAGAACAGAAATGACCAGTATGGGCGAAATCGGACAAATGGACGAGACACAGGATTCGCTTTGGCTTCTGCGCGATCGTGTGCAAAGATAGCGAACTCCGCGGACGAGAGCCGTCCCGGAGGCGACGCGTTCTCCTGTGTGTTTTCTAAAATTATCACGTTTGCGAGTGCAAAGGAGTCCGCTCGTGCAGATGCCAAAGACACGCAACACGATTCGAGACATCAACATGAAAGAAAAGGACGACACATAAAGGTATCTCAACTCGAAGGAGAGAGAAACGTAACGTTACTACTGCCGCGTTATCATCTTGATTAATGACAGATATCTACAGCGTGTATGAGTACACATTCATGTCTGTATGTGTGTGTGTTTACATGTGTGTATACATATACGTGTGTAGCGAGCGAGTGGAGAATCTCGAGAGGCGTAATACATCTGTCGATCGAGTTGTGTGTACGTGTACATATATATTCCGAGTAGAGTGTAGATAAAAATATACCTGTGCACGATTCATATAGCCGTCCAAAGTAGAACAAATAAAATCTAAAAACAAAATTACAATTCTGCCGATCGGTCGCGTCGCGTCGCATCGCGTTGCGTTTGCACCGCGATACGAAATGTGCGAGTCTTTCTATACATATATGTCTCTTCCTCTCTGTCTCTCTCCTGCCCCCCCCCTCTCTCTCTCTCTCTCTCTCTCTCTCTTCGTAGAACGGAATTGTACTTTTCCAGAAAAAAATTCGCTCCGCTCCTTATTTCTCGCGATAACGCTAACGTGGGTGTATCCCGCCACGGAAGGATAGTCGCGAAGCGCGAGATAATACTGAAGGATCTTAAACGCAATTAAACGCGTACCGACGGTATGTTGCCAGCGAGATTTAATTTCGAAACTGAATTAGCGCAACGCACGGGGGACTCGTGAGGAAAAAAGAAGGAAAAAATCAAAAAGAATTACTTTTGTTTCCAAAGTTCATCCTTCGTTGATTTTTTCCCTGCCATCTCTTGTCTCTTTTTCTCTCTCTCTTGGCCGGTTAAATTTCGCGATATGAAATTTTGCGGAAATTACAAGCGGGACGTAACGGTGTAGCCGAGCTGCACCAGAGAAAGACAGAAGAGAGAGAGAGAGAGAGAGAGAAAGAGAGAGAGTCTGTCAAAGCCGAAAAGAGAAACAGCTTATCGATCGTCGCTTGATGTACGCGCGACCGTTCGGCAGATACGTACACACACATGCACACACACACGCACAGATATACATATAATATATATATGTAAGTATACATACAATAAATATATATGTGTATGTATGCGAGCGATTATATAATATATAGCGAAAGATGTGTGACTTTTGCTTGGTATCGTTATATATGTATATGTATATATATATATATGCAATAAAAAGAGTCATTAAGTACCGCGAGAAATTGCCGATTCATTGTGTCTGCCGCCTTCTCCTGTAAGCTCCTGGAAGTCAGCACTAGCGTCGGCGTCTTTTGCCCTAAAAGTCGATTTTCCTTTAACTGTGGTCACAATCGCAACGATGACAGCACGCCGTCGGCTTAATTATTCGCTAATTCATGATGAGATGGCATGCGAGCAGCGACGGCCGAAACGACGCTCGCCGTCGTGAACGTCGGTCCATTCTCCCCCCCTCCCTCCCTCTCTCTCTCTCTGTTCCTCTCTGCGCCATGTCGGAAAACAAACTGGTGCGAAAATGCGGAGTTGCGCGCGGTGACGATGAGCGAAACGCGAGTCGTGCTCAATGCGATCGAACACAATGAAGGAGGGGGGGGGGGGAGAGTGTAGATTGGACAAAAAATCGAAGAGACGGGCGCGGGCGCGGGCCTGAATGAGCGAGCCGTCTGCGTGAATTAAAAATATCGCCCGGAACAAAAACCAGAAAGAAGAAGGGAAAAAGTAATACGAAGAAGGGAGAGAAGAAGGGAAACGCGGGAACGTGCTCGATTCAGCGGGCTCGAGTTTATTCGGTATTTCATGCTGTTTCGCAAACATGTCGCGAGCGAACGACTCTTTGACGTCAGCTGGTGCTCGCGCGAGCTGAGTCTCTGAAAGAAACGGCCGATGAATTTCCGTCGTTTACAAGTCGATTGCGAAATCGCACCTAAAAGAAAGAGAAAGACAGAGGGAGGGAGAGAGAGAGAGAGAGAGAGAGAGAGGGAGAGAGAGAGAGAGAGAGAGAGAGAGAGAGAGAGAGAGAGAGAGAGAGAAGGAGCTACGCCTTCTCCTCTCTCAGGTCGACCGATGCGCGAGTGAGTACATTTCCGGGGGAATGAAAAGAGAGAAAGAAAAAGGAAAAAAAAAAAAAAACAAAATGTCTCGGCCGACGACGTGCACAGCGCAGACACGCGATACGGCGACGCGATGAAGATATTTCTCGCGGCTCGTAAAGCCAACAAATTGGTTACACGATCGCCACGAGAGAGCACTCTTATATCATTCAACGACATCCATATCCGTGTGGCGGCGGCGGCGGTGGCGGTGGCGGTATGCATTTGATATCCGCGAACGATGCGATCTCGACATTACGGTATAAAGAGAGACAATAAAAGCAGGGCGAGCGCGACGTCGCTGAAACGCCGCTTTCCATTGTCGCACGGAGCCCCGTTTATATATGCGATGCGCAATCGATTCAGTCACGAAAAATCTCACATCGACATGTCCGACGCGCGCGCAGGAACACACTCCGGCTGAATTTCCACGGCGCTCCGTCCGCGTCCCACGTGGAATCAATCATACGAGGTGGCGAGATTGCGAGAGGACGAGAAGATACGGAGGGGAAGAAGCGACGAAACAATGAGCGGGCGCGACGGCAGCGCGGAAGACGTCGTCCTGACGCGAAACGCGTCAAGGAGAGCCTCGCGAGAACGACTGTCGACGGACGTTTGAGCGCGGCGCGATTAAGGTAGGCGGAATGGTCACGCGGTCGCGGGTGCCGACTTGCCGACGCGGACGGTGACATTTCCCACGCGACGACGATGCGCAACTCATCTCATGTGTGGACAACGCGGGGAAAAGCGAAGGCGGCCGAATCGCCCGGACGTCCGCTCGCTACATGCGGGAAATCGCCGCGCGCGCGGTCGCGGCGAGTCTCGCCAGGGGGGAGGGAAGTGCAGGGAGGATCTTAATTTAAAAGTTAGATGACACCGGCTCGCCGCGTATAAATCACTCGGAGATTTTACCGCCCCCATTCCCGCCGCCACCTTACGCCCGCTTTCGCCGTCGTTGCCGTCGTCGTCGTCGTCGTCGTCGTCGCGACGGCCGGTATCTCGCGTCTGCGCTCCTATTCCCCGCGAGGAAAAAAATTCCGCTGAGCCGCAGAAGTTCAGCGGCACGAGAAATACGGATAAAACTGCGTGGACGCGCGCGAGTCCAACGAGGACTCATTAGCGCAGATCACTCGAATCGTAAACTCGAAGTGCCGAGCACCGCTACTCGCCCACTCGCCATCTCGTCGCTGGAGCTTGTGATCGATAACGACGAGTGCGAGGCATTGTTACAATCTTTCTTTTTTCACACATTACGCGGCGTTGAGCGCGTTATCATTATTGTCGGTGCGCGTGGAGTGTGTCGCCGTTGGTCGACGCTGGTCGATTCGCGAGATCTCGTCGCTGACGAGCGCTCCGGTGCTCAACGCTCATTCCGTGGCTGAAAGAATGACAACAATGATAAGAGACGGAGGCGATGGAAGCACAGAGAGATCGCTCAGAGACCGAGGAAGAAGCGGATCGCCGCGCCGCGTCGACTCCTCCCGGCGATTGACTCCAGCCTGCAAGGATCACCCTCTCGTTTCTTCGCGGCCCGAAGCCGCGGAGACACGTGTCTCCAGCTCGGCGCAGCCGGAGGCCGCGGCACTCGCAGGCACTCGCAGGCACTCGCAGGCCTCAGTGCGGCCGATCAGCCGGCCAACACATGGCTATGAATATAATACGCAACTTACCTCTCTCGAGAGCTTCTACAAACTAATTATCTAGTCTCTAATTGTATTGTGCATCTACGAATGGGAGCAACAAC